AGGCTTTCTGGAGTTGAACATATGTCACCAGATCAACAACGTGGCCGATTGACGAATGGCCGCGTCTGAATCCGGTCATGGATACTAGATAGATTTCGTAGTGCTATAAATACCACTCCATTCGTGTTAGAATCCTTCGTTCCATCGTTTTTCCCACACAACTGGCAAGTGCGATAGGACGGCATGAGGCAATATCCGAAGGAGATTTACCAGCCTACAGAAGTGGAATGAGGCGACTTGACTTCCATGCCTGGGGAACCGTACCAGTCTGCCAGGAGTCGTTGTATAGGCGTAAGAGTGCCATCCGAACTTCGTCTCCAAGATTACAAAGGGCACGATAAGTAATGCCGTCAGGGCCGGGTGCTGAAGAACGTCTGCACAGTGCCAGTGCCGCCTCTAGCTCATCCATAGAAAACTGGCATTCCATACGGGGATCACATGAGGGCGGTGGGTTGTCAAATGTTCCCATTATTGATACTGTGAAATTGGAATCACCGGCAATTCAAATCATCCATGCACTTTGTCCGTCGGTACCTTCGTTTTGCACGACGGCGTATTGCGCGAAGTTTCTCAAGCTCGATGTCGAAATCGGTGCGCTTGTGACTAGTCAAATGTGTATGCGTGGTATTCAGCAGGACATACTTTATCGATTCCTTTAGGCTATATGATGAGCCATCGGCACAGCAGTCTTCCATTAACATTTTGAATTTCGGCCAATCGGTGTATTTGAGGCCTCTTGAGTACTTGGAGTTGGTGAAACCTTCTATACACAGGTAAGTTGGTATATGGTCGCTGCCCCGCGTTTCCAGATCCGGAAACCAGTGCACTTTCCTGGTAAGTGAGCGAGAAACCAATGTAAGGTCCAGGCAGCTGCTATAGGCTGATCCGCGTAAATATGTAGGGCTTCCATCGTTACAAACGCAGATTTTGTACTCCGAGGCTAAGGACACCAATTTTCTTCCTCTAGAGTTGTCCCTGGAGCTTCTCCATAGGAAATGGTGGCCATTGAAGTCGCCAGTGATCATATCATAGAGAGCACCTAAAATGGTTGCTTGGGTGAGTTGGTACAATATTATTCCCATAAAAACAGCGCTAAAAATGGAGGACAAGGAAAAGAAGGAAACAGACAGCCAGCGGCACTGGCCGCTCTCTGTCTTTTTTTCTTCTCGGTCCTCTGTTTTTGGCGCTGTTTCTATGTAAATAATCGAGAACATGTCGTTTCGCTCTTCATATTCATCAATGTGTTTAGGCCATATGACTAAAATAACACTTAAGTATGAATTTACGATTCATGCATGTGACCTCCTTCAAATATTTCTATTTTAAGACAGAAACTTTTTAACAACAAAATTCGATTACATTTATTGAAAACACAAACGGCTTAAAAAAAAGATGCTCGCTTACTCTTCAGCAGCGGTACTTTTATTTTTCAAATTTTGACAGTAATTCAATTTCTATTTGTGGCTTTTCAAGTAAAGATTTTCATTTCCAGTAAACTGGTAAGCTCTTCTCCGTGCGTACGGCACAGCTCTGCAGAAACTGCCTTTCATGACAAACTTGAGGCGCTGATTCACTGGCTCCCATAATGGAAACCGAGTGAACGTCAAGCAGGTTCCGCACTTTATTATCTGTCCCTCACGTCCCCTCACCCTTCACTCTTTTTCAATGTTTGAACAAACAGGAAAAACAATGAACACGGGAAATCGAAGGCTGCAAAAAACGCGGCTTCAATCCATTTTCCATCGGCACCTTTGTCAAAAAGACAAGAAGGAAGAGGCGACGTCTCAAAATCACTCAAGTAGCCCGGCTCTTTTGAGAGCACAAACAAACACAGTTGAGAGTAGCAGCGAGGGTCGGAAACTACGTGGAAGAAGAGGGGGGGATCAATACTTCCACACCTAAACAAATACGTTTTAGTGATATCATTTGCTAATATTTTGTTACCTTTTCTTTGTTCCATCAATGCGAAGAAATGGTCTGCGGACTACATCGCAGGCAGGCACAGCGCCGAGTTGATCCCCTCCATTCGAGCCAAAAGTCTTTCTCACGTAAAAATGAATTTCAAAACAAACAGTTAAATATAGGCGAACACGCATTTTTGAGATCATAAGTGCGCAATATATATACACTGTAATGCTAGCGAGGTAAGCACGGTGGCGAGGCTAGGTGGTTGGGAGCCCCACCCCCAATGACTCGACAGAAATATCCATGCCCCACTTTAAGCGAAACAAAGTAATGATTGAATGGCCGCAAGAACAAAAACGAGAACAGGCCTGTTAACACTTGTGAGGAGCTACATCAACAATAAAAAAAATATGTGAACGTGCAGCAAGCGACATAAAGGTACATACGTATAGGGAGTCGGGAGATCAGAAACGTCGGAGTATGCACGAGACAAAGCAGAAAGAAGCAGAGTAAGCGAGTGAGCAAAATCAAACGTGTGCATAGCTCCAGTGATGCACGGAAGTAAGCAGGTAAGGGAAAGTGGAGGGGAGGGTTATTGAAATAGCAAGGAATCCATCGGGCGTCTAGTCAGCGGCTAGAAATGTCTGTCTGTCTGCCGTTCTGTGGGGAGGTAGGCGGCCGGGGTAAAGGGCGGCTATATATCCGAGTGTGGGGGCGTTCAAAGAAAAGTGCTAGGAAGACTGAACGTGCACAAAAAAAGGGACAATCAAAATAGAATATACATAGAACGGTGGTACACAATACGTGGGTTGCTCAGTGAGGCGTGCGAAGCGCTAAGGGTGCTTGGTCGGGCTCTAGGGATGAACTCTCCACAAGCTCTTCCCTCTTTCTTCCATTGGCGAATGGCCGTAACCACGCACTCGTGGTAAGGAAGATTGCGGGGAGGGGTTTTCGTGAGAGAGAAAAAAAAATAAAATAAACAGGGAGCGATGGCCGGAAGAGGCTGTAACAGAATTGGGACAGTTGCCCTTGGCTTTTGCAACGGCGGCAAAGAAAAAGGCGTTATTCGAAGTGTGCTCGAAGGTGGCCAAGGAAAACGGATTCCACATCACCGACCGGCATAGTTGGAAAAGTGCATTGTCGAAGAGAAGGAACTCTACTTTTGCTCAATTTCTCCCGAGGATGCCTCGCTCAAACAGAATCGGAGAGGATCGAGGATCGAGGGGAAAAGGAGAAGGGGGCTTATAGTCCAGGTGTGATGGATTTTCAGGAGAGAAGACAAAAACTACGCGCACTGAAGGGTCCTCTCAGAGAGAAAAAAAAAAAGTGGCCCAAGCACGAGTCGTAGCAAAGCAGACACTCTGCAGGTTTGAGTCTCACGCAGTTTGAAGAATGGAGCCTAGGTACTTCCGCCGGGAATTTCCTGGATAAATGAAGGAAAATGAATGATTCCTTTAAGCAACAAGGCACCCGAGAAAGCTCTGTCGCTGGGGCTCTAAGATGACCTGTAATGGTGACATGTTTTGTATGAATGGTGTAAGATGGCAACTTTCCACATAGCATTCGAAGAAACTAGTAAACTTTTTTTTTTCTTTTTAAAGTAGCGCGGCACGCCAGACGCCCTTTCCCTTAGACGAAACTCAATAAGACTTCTTGTTCGCGTGGTCGGCGTAAGGCTTAATATATATATATATATATATATATATATATATATATATATATATATATATATATATATATATATATATATATATATATATATATATATATATAAAAGAGCGTCCAGATGAACAAACAAGTCCAACACTTCTCTATTCTTGCTTGAATTATTTGCTCAGCTTCACTGCATAATTTGACACTGCCATTGTAAAAACTCGGAAGGCTTCTTATGCCTTCGCCAACGAAGTCTCGAAGGCGGAGCCTTCTTGTTTTTTTTTTGTTTTTTTCAGTCGATGTATCAATCTTGCGTTGCCCCACTGCTGAAGATTTCTGCACCTGAGATGCTTCTGTACCTGAGATGCGGTACATATGCAATCGGAACAATTGCATATGTACCGCACCCTGTTTTGCATTGCCTCCGTGACTTGCGCACTTTTTACCAGGTGACCATGTCAGGTGATGACGTCCTCATATGGCATAAAAGTAACGTGTTAATGACACAACGCACTTATGTAATCTGTGATGCCATAAGAATAATTGCTTGGGTTGAACGTTCCAAAACAACGATTTAATCATGAGAGACGCCATAGTGGAGGGCTCCAGAAATTTCGAAGCCTTCTGGGCATAGGATGGAGAAGGTCAATGACCCAGAAATTTTCGTTCCGACAAAGGGCGATCATCCAGTCTATCTAGAGCTTTGATATTTCCGGAGCCCTTCAGTATGGCGTAGATTTCTTACATTTTTTGGGGGGGAAACTGGCCTTAAAGATAGACTTTAGTGTCGTATTCTATCTATTCCGTTTTTCCGCATTACTTTTTTATGTTTTTCTTTCGCTATTTTTGTATTTTTGTCTCATTCTCTCTCTCTTTGTAACATATCTTTTTTATCATGTTTTATTCCCTTTACCCCCTTTTCCAGAACAGGGTAGCCAGCTGGTCTAAAAACTGGTTATCCACCCTGTCCTTTCCTCCTCCTCCGAAAATTTAATCCACCTAGGGTTCTTTACGTGCCCTAATTTAAGCAACAAGGGCCTCAAGCACTTTTGAATCCGCCGAACATACGGAAACCGCGGCAGGGATTCTATCTGGTACAACATCATATGAGGATGCCGTCAAGTGAGGGTGATAATTTGCACCACTTGTGCATGCGCCGCCAGAGTGGGAAATAGGTTGTGACATACAATTCTCGTGTTTCGTGAGGCACGGAAAGCTTTCGCCTTAAAAACATTGTTAGGCTGAATAGAGGCATTACTATCGTTGCTATATGAAGAACTGAACACACAGGTTCCAGTAGCTCGTAAAACAGTGCAAAGATGACATTGATAATGTCATAACGTGTGATTTGACGTATACTTCGGCAGCCGAAAATAGCTTGCGAACGCACGGCTAATAATAAAAATGAAGGTGCTAAAGTAATTCAGGCAAACAAACGGCAAGTGGTGCAACAGCTACAGTTTAATTGAAACTCCGTAATGTAACAGCGATGACAGTATGTACAGTAATGACGTGATGTGTTAATATTAAAAAAAGTAGGCCAACTAAAGCATACGCTAGCAACTTTGCGTTGATGTTCAACTCAATGATACAACTTGCCTATACCAACCGGACAATGCTAAAGTATCTACCAGAAACATGTAGTTCCAGCCGCGTTCGCTGAATAGCTTTTGGCTTTCTGTTCGAACCTACAGCGACGGACAAAAATGCAGGTTGACATTTTAGCAACAAACATTACAGGGATAATCTTTTGTACCTAATACTTTCAGCAGCATTCGCAGGTAAACAAACCTTGAGTGTGTAACATTGCACAGTCACCACTGAACTTTCGTTGCACGCGAGACTTTACCATGCAGGCAAGATTTTTGACTTACCCATTCAAAGTTCAATACACCGGCATTTCGTGGCTGTTTTGTGAGCAAAAAGGTAAATAAATGGAGTTTAAAATAAAAAAAAAACAAAGTTGTATATGCCTGCCTTTTATAGAAGATAAATTAGATTGATCTTCTATAAAAGGCAGGCATATACAAAGTACTACATGCGACTAGAAGCCTCCAGAAGTAAAATCGATAACTCCAATCTATCCACGTGATTAGTAGCTCTGAGCATATAAGCAATTATTTGTTACACAGCGAATCAGAGTGAAAGTGTGGACAGCTATGGTAGGCAGTTTGCCATTGCTGCATTGTGGGCAAAAACAAGTGCACAGAAAATATACTAGACAACACGCGATGCAACATATGGTCTTATGCATATTCTGTGTCCATATTGCTACCGACGATGTTTTGCAATGCCTTTCGTGATGAGGTCTTTATCTTGCTTCTCATGGAATAAGTTAAAATGACTGCAGTACCATTCGTAACAAACGTAATTTAGTTACCAGTTAGAGCATAGTTGATTCCTAACTGTGCTTCTTGCATAGTGACGAATATTCTTGCAGCGCCAAACAACTCATTCATTGGAAGATCGCTGTACCGGAATACTATCCAAATGATCTATTTGTGTTCTTCCTTTAAATAACAAAGATTCGCGATAGTTTTTTCAAAGAGTGTCATTACTATTCACAATATTGTCGAAACAATTTTCACAACTATCAGCAAACTTCCGAAAATTAAAAAGTGTCACCTTCACAACCGCCTTATTGCGGGTGACAAGTGAAAAAGAAACGGTAACTCGAAAAATGGTGAAGCACTCTTTTTTGAGCCCGCAAGGTAACAAAATGCGCAAATTAGTGTTCGCAACTTTAACATGGTTTGCGCCTGTTTGGCGTAAGTCTAGCCAGAAACTTGGGAACATATGAATAAACAACCACAGTGGTCTTAAGCGTCATACGCATCGCATCAAATTCTAATCAAATGCGTTCTTGCTTTCTGCGACATAGCGCGAACTGCTTATTTAGAAGTACCATGCCGGCCTATACGGTAACACCCCCACGTGCAAAGCGCTTTGAATTCCATCCACTATTGTTCTAAATGCAAGTATCTTTTCGTAATTTAATTAATTCATTACAATTTAACGGGTTTTCACTCAGTTTTCATTGATGGAGTGATTTTCTGAAGCCTTTTATCCCCTATGCTGACAGTAGCACGTAGTGATACTGATAAAAAAACCTTGCTTGTCACCACGAACGCGAAGGTTGGCTAATCGAAATTTGGCTAACATCGCGCAGATATCAGTCACCCATGCCGGGTAAGTTACTGTTCGTTTGTTACAAAGTTCTTGGTACTCCGTCACCATCAGAAGCTCTTTCGTAAAGTTTGATTCTGAGCATACGCTACCAGACGGGCAGACCGGTGCCCATCTGGCAGTTACAATAATAGCCGTCATTTCTCAGAGTGACGCAATGCATGCTTGCCAGCAAATAGTCTTGGTATTGCAGCCCGGCTTCTGCAGTAGACATACGCACACAATGAGAGTACTATTAAGATAAGTGCTAGACGTGGCCAACTCCACCACGTATGCCTTTTTGGGTACATGAACAGTTGAAGTTGTTGCTTCCGTTGAATGCCACTATAGCAAGGAATATGATATTCATGACAGGATCTGTTCAGTCAGAACGATGTCTCCTGTATGAGGAGTGGTACTACGAATCAGTTCATCTGAATTAAATTACGCTTTGATTAACAAACACGGAACTGCAACTAAGCTGGTGGTACTTGCGGACATCGTGCCAAGGCTTGGCTTTTTTTAACGCCTACTTGTACAGCCATCCTGCCGCGATGCAAAGCTGTCAGGTCATAAAGAAGAAAAAAAAGGGAACACACAGATTAACCCTGAGATCACATGCCATCTTGTAGGCTCTTGTACGCAGGCGTTGCAGTTGTTATTTTTCGACGCTGTTTACGGGAACAGTCTGGTCACTGCACACAGCATGGGCGTTTTTGTCTCTCTCTCCGTTGAACAGTGCAGTCCTGCTTCTCTGAGCAATTCAGTCACCACTTGGGTCACGTGGGTCTCGATGCGATCAGCGATTGGACCCGAGACGAGAGACGGCGTGAGACGCGAGGGCCAGGAGCAGAAGTGTCACCACAGATGGAACTTGGATACAAGTAGAGGAGGCTATAGATGATGACGGTACAGGAGAAGGAGATATATAGAAAAGAAAGGAACAGGAAATGATGTTGTTTTAGTAAAATGTTGGAAGTGTACGGAGACTGATGAGCTAGTTGGTAGTACACAATTTACGTAGTACCGCAAGGAATAGTATGGATGGCGATAGAGCCAGACGGGATATACTGCGTTGTGTCCATCTTTCCATTTCGCCGTCCATGTGATTCCTCGCGCTACTGTGTGAGATATGTAGAGCTGGCGGAATACACTTGCTCATCGTTAACACGCATCTTTAGATTAACTCAAGCTCATAACTGTACTGAGCGAGATGCCTATACCAACAGACAAACAAAAAGCTCTCAGGAAACCCAAAGAAAAATTCAGATTTACAGGTGTATCAATTCAGTGAAAGTCAGAGTGGCTGCCATGTTGGTCGTCCCTGAGGTAAAAAACCACATTACACAAGCGCACTTTGCAAGACTTGTGCTGTTGCCCCTGCATCATCCCACGTGCATGTAACTAAGTTCGCACTTCTAATGACATTCTATAGGGTGCAAGTCGCCGGTTCATGATGATTGTTGCTTTGTTTTTTTTCTATACTTTCTATATTTCCCGTGAAGAGTCATAGATTGCTTAATATTGAAGCTCTCACTGTTAACGATAAACAAAACTATTCTATTCGTCTTAAATATATATATAAATTTTGCTTCGTTTTAGCGACATGTTCACGCTGTAAGATTGACATGCACATGAGACAGGTTTAGCCCAAACGAAGGTTAGTAGACTATTCATTAATAACAGTTCCGTAATAATGAGGAGTGGATATACCTAGCTCGTTAAGTGACATGGAAAATTCCGCCATATCCACGAAGTGAATGATGATGAGTGGGCGAAGCTCCGGAGGTAAACCTGGTAAACCATGAATCCTCTGTACATTTTGCCCACTCGATTTTATTACATCGCTCCCCCTAGCGTACGTCGCCGCACTAAATCGAACGATTGCCTTCAACCAATGACACGCGCCATATGTGACATCATTCCTATTTTATAAGATCTCGCGTCTTTCATCAACTACAAGTACCGGCTTTCTAGTTTATAACATCTTGCATCTTTCATCATCAGCTACAAGTACCACCATCTAGTAAACACTACAAGAACTAAACAAAAGGTGGCTACATACAGGAGACGTACCGCCATCTAGTGAACACTGAAAGAACTAAACTAGAGGTGGCTACATACAGGGGACGGTACCGCCATCTAGTGAACACTGCAAGAACTAAACTAGAGGTGGCCTATATACAGGCTACAGGGGACGCACAGCCCACGCCCTAAGGAGCTTCGCCCCTAAAAATTGAAGACTTAAGAGCAAGAAAGAAATGTTTCACGTTCTTTTTGCAGCAGCTGGTATAGGCACAAACCACTTAGCGTACTGTCTTGCAGTAATATCTTGCACCACGCTCCTTTCTACTTACTACAGAAGAGTGCCCAAGTCTCTGCTTCTACTAGAAATGGTTAGTGGTGGTTATTAGATAGGTTACACAAGCCAACAGTGGCGCGTTGAAATGTTACATAACAAGAAATTAAGTGACAATAACGTGAACAAGCAATGACGCAGTAGTAGGCAAAAGGCAAGGCACGCGAAATAGTGAAACATGGGATTATTTTATGTCCCGAATAAGGCACGCCAGAAGCCACTTCGATTTCTGTCGTCCAGCTGTAGGTTTGTACATAGAAAGTTCTTCATCTGCAGAAGGCAGTGCAAGAAACACAGTGTTTAAGTATCATGTTATTACAGGACATGCTGGTAGCTTCAATATGTGATGTAAGTATTTAGAAATAGTTCATCCGGCAAAAAAGTATAATAAAAATCATTCGGGAAGGTGCGTACCAATAGTAAAACATAACAAAGAATCTATCTCAATGTGCACTTACAAAAACTACTACTGAAACCCCCTAGAACAACAATATCATTCCCCACATTGAAGCTATGAGCACTTGCTAGTATTGTAGCATAAAATATAGCAAACAATAATTGCGATAGCAAAATAACAAGTAAACAAAAAACAATAACAATCCGGGCTCTCAATACATTACGTGCGTTTCTTGACACATTCACGTTTTTCACACTCCTAAAAATAAAAAAAAATGAACAATAATTTAGAATAAGTTACGAGTTAATTAGTAACGTCGTTCTACGATGGTCAGAAATTAAGGGAACTGTCTATGAAAAGTGTATTTCAAAATAGAGTTACAGTAATAGTTGTACCGTGTGCGTTCAAGGACAAGGTGGAGAGATACTTACTAACAAAACCTAAAGGATACCAAAATCAGTGAATCGTTGCCCAATGTCATCACGCTCTCGAAAGTGCGTCTTTGGAGGTGTAGTCTAGACTTAATAAACCGAGGTACGAGTTTAAAAAGAAGAAAAAGAGGGTCTAAAACTGAAGAAGCCTGGAGAGGCCTCGCCCAGGTGATCGAAGCGCGGCAGCTGATGGCTTGAACAATAAAAAAATATCGCTGCTCATGCTCCCAGCAATGGTCTCTGAAGAGAGGCAACCAGAAGAGTGGATAATGATGTCAATATGGAGCATGCGGATTAGTCTATAGACTTGTATGCGTGAGTCTTTGGGGACGAAATTCAGCAGACTTCGGTAATTGTATCTGACAATAGAACTCAAAATACTTGCTGTACACTGCCATATTGACTGCTGAAATCTTCTGTTTTTTATACAACATGCAAGACAAAAAAGATGAAAGCCTTTGGACCCCTCTCTTAGCACCCGCGAAGCCTTTGCGCGATATCTTGGCAGCCATTTCGATCACCGAGCGAATCACATTCAGGCGCGATGGGGTGCGTGATAGCCCCATGTACTTTTCGATCTGCTGAGACAGTGTGGCAATAAGCTTTTGAGAAGACACATGCTGCTGAATTTGGCAGTAGAAAAAGAAGAGAAAGGATAATCTTGACTTAAAACGAGAATAGAGAGGCCATTGTATGCGGCATCAAAGCTCTTTAAAGGCTCTGTCGAGGAACAGCGACCAGCTTCTCTGAGAAACAGCGACGCGGATGATTACATAAACGTGATCACATCGGCAACACCTCATTTCACACAAAGGGCAACATGCAGCTCAGAATATTTCAAATATGGATTGAGTCTCGCATCCATGATCTGAAAAGTGATTCTCTAAAACTTGGAAGAACATTTTTTTTGAACAACATGCTACGCCAAATCGCAGATATAAAAACAACAATAAAGTTTATTATAGCTATTCAAATGTTCCTGCAGCTTATAGCGGGCTTATTCCCGATTGGCTACTTATGTGTGTAAGTATGACAGTAAACTCACGCGCGATGTGCGTGGCGCTTTCCAAAAGGTGGCGCTCAGGCGGTAACCACGATGCTTGTGGACTAACACCATACCACTAAAACAGCCTTACCAATTTTCCACCATATTATTCTTTTTTCATTTGCAGCGTGATGTCCATTGTGTATTCGGAGATAATAAGTGCATGGAAACACTATTCAGAAATGAATTACCACCCATCAAATGTGCGTCATTACGCGTTCATTCTGTTCATGGCAGCCTTAATTATGATAACAATATAGGAAACGTACAAGTTAACTTGAACTGGTGATGATGGCCGATAAAACTTAAGAAGGAGCAATGCACTGAGCTGTTTACGCTAGGGACAGTTGATATTGCCTCCAGATACTGCTTTGCTAAACTAAGTATGGGGATTATAGTTCTTGATTATTTGCTACAATAAATAGACTCCACAGTTTAAAAATGGACAGAAAATGTGTGAGCTAAACTGAGGAGCAATTACACTGAGAATGTGCGTGTATTTGCAACAATTATGCATTAGAGATTGACAACATATAATATGGTTAATAATAAGACAAAGAAAAAAAAGCAAAGATTACTTTAACTACCGTGACTGCGTTTTTTCTTTTGAACGCTAGTATTAGACATATACATTTCATAACGTGCTTTGACACTCATTTTTGTGCCTGCTTATGTGGCAGTCATGTCAAGAAGTCACTACGCTATCTTAACGCAGGTGAAACCTGAAAACTGTGAGTAATGTGAATCAAAGCACATCGTGTCTCCGAAACAGTTGAAATATAACCGACACTGGTGTTTCTGATGCTACTGGTAAAACAGCCGACAAACAGCGCCACAAATAATAGTGCAGTTGCACCTTCATTCAGCTCACAAGAGCACTTCATAATGGAACAGCAGCACAACCACACCCGTACATAGGACAGACGGCACACGAAACACAGCGCTGTCTATGTGTGGTCGCGCTTGCGTTTTATTATGAAGTACGACCAAGCAGCCCAAGTTTCAGTCTCGTCGCCAGAGCACTTTGCGCGCATCCCACCTGAACATTACTGTTTCAGCATGTCGTACCAAGAAAGTCGTGTATACAGTGACCACACTACGACCAAATTCAGCTTAAAAGTTCGTAGACGGAATGGTACGGTGACCCGGTATAGCAGGGCACGTGATACACATCTCAAGGCGGCAACGGATGCATGCAAATAGCAAAAAAAAAAAAGCATTTTTCTTTCGGAACTCACAGTCTATCCGGATGATCTTTTCCACGAACATCGTCTTGAAAGAAGGGGCGTCCGCCGATACTTCACACTTGTAGTTGCCGCCCGTGAGGTGGTCCACATTGCGGATGAATACGGTACCGTTGTTTGAACGCTGCAACTGGAGGATAAACGAGAGATCGCGGAGTAATGAGTGCGTAAAATATTAAACAGCATTTGCCTCCTCAATTTCTAAGCACAATTTCAAAGCATTGTTTGCCGTTCATAGCACGAGCACACACGAAAATGTTAAATAGTTCAGCACACGACCAATATTGTACAGTCCAAACACCTGTCAGTGATGACTTACTGCCTCGCCACAAGCTTTCCGCAAGGATTCAGCAGGACTCTTACGTCTGTGCCCTGACATGTCATTTAAAATTGCGTTGTTTTTCCATCATAGAGTTGGAAAAGGGACGTATAGACGGTTCTGCAGAAGCAATCGGCTGCCAGTTGTGATGGTTGTATTGAGAACCAACGCACAGTAAGCAAGCTAAACTAACCAGACTCCGGATGACCATTTCATGAAACGAAAATTATTTGAACCTGGCCACTGTCATCGATGGCGCGAAAAAGCTATTCCCGAAGTAGCTGTTCTTGAATATCACAGACCTCAGTGATCCACTGAGGCTCTGCAGTGCATCCTAGTCAAAGCACAGTGTTCACCCTCCCATTTAAATTTCCTCTCTAACTTTTTGATTTGTCTATTCCTAGTCTAGGGTAGCAAACAGGATGCCCGTTAGGTTAATCACTCACTCACCACTCACTCACCACTCACTCACCACTCACTCACCACTCACTCACCACTCACTCACTCACCCGCTCGCTCACATCATGGTTATAAGATAACTTCCGATGTGAGCCACCAACATTGACGCCCCAATCACTCAGAACTCCAATTTGAGTGAAGTCGCTTGCACATGCCTATTCACCGAAGCTTCTCACTTTTCTCAACCTTGCACGCAGATTCGAATACATTTATTTTTTTTGTTTCTTCCCGCAATTCGACTTTTTCTTCCTAGACAAAAAAAACAAGAACGCCGCCTAAGGCGCTGCGTGAAGAACACGACCGACGATTAACATAGTTCTCGCCTTTATGCAATGTATTCCTTTTTTCGTCTCTACACACTCCGCATATAGTTCGACGAGGAGACAAATTCCATTTTTTTCCTCTCTCCTTGTCTGTGCGCCTTCGAGTGAGGTGAGCAGAAAATCAGAGTTTCGTCTTCGGAAGAACGTGTACGCCACTTCACACTCGCTGTACGACACCGCCTCCGGGCCCAATATTCTTGCTGCGCCCGTGTCGAGCGCGCGCCTCAGCGTTTGGGCAGGTATTGCGCTCGCGGGTCGCTGCTCGATTCTCGCATGCGTGTTTCCCGTCTTAAGCAAAGAAAAAAAAACAAAAGAAATGAGAAGAAGGAGGCTTTCGCAACGCTCAAAGGCGTTCGCAAAGAAACACTACACGCAAATTTTTCTGCGAACTGCGACATCATCTTCGCGGCGTGTGCGCAAGCGCAAATCCGCGCAGTGGGCTCAGCTCGCGCCTACCTGTACGAGCAGCCCGAAGGCTGCGGACGATCGTTCGAAGAATCAAGACAAACGACGGTTGCGAGGGAAGGAGGGGTCACAACCGCGAGGCGGCGGCGTATAGAAAAGAGAGTAGTGAATTTGCATTCCCATTACGATTGCCAGGGCTGTTGCATGCGAGCCGCCACATATGAAAATGGCAGAATAACGAGCACGAACTGCATTGCATTACGCGCTCTCCTCAAACACTGGCTCCTCCTCACCCACTGCACCGCATGCACCCTTTCCTTTCCCACTCACCCCTACCAGTGCGGCGTAGAGACGCGGGAACAATGTTATAGGCGCCGCTCATTACCATAATAACGAGTGGAGCGTAACGGTGGAAGAAAAAAAGAAAGAGAAATATGGGATTGTGAGCTCAGCCCTTCGTGTAAATATTGTAAGCCGAGCGCGGTGTGTACACGTTATACGCCGGAGCCCTGCCGCCCCCGAGAGCCTGCTCCGTAGTATTAATAACAAAGATTTAATGCGGCGAACCCCCCTCCCCGCGAGACACCTCTTACTGATGCCGGCATGTATGCATGAAGCTCGGCCCTATAGCTGCCGCCTCGTTGCAAGTAAAGAAAGCATCAGAACCAGCAATCCGTGCCCAACCTCTCAGCACATCCACCCTCAACGCGTTGAACTTCCTGCGTTGTTCTTTCCTTCTATTCGGTTCTCCGTGTTGAATGTAGAACTACCTGATGTGCGCTGTACGAGGGTGCGCGAGTTGCCAGTGCCTGCATACAAAATCACTTGGCGTCAAGTGCTCGCTGTCCGAAATCGGCGCCCGAGTGGGTGTATGGCGGGCGCGTGATTGCGAGTCTGCTCGGCATTCGGAAGCTCGCTTCGCAAACCCCGCGTGTCTCGGTGTGCTGATATGGCGAGTGTGAGTGATTGCGTGCTTGCATGTCTTGCTTATCGACGGGCGTTAGACTTGTTTTCGTGATTATTCATTACTGCCAAATGTCGAGTTATGTACCACGTGCGTGAGTTGGCCGAGGTTTTGATTGACTTATTGAGTGTGCATTAGTGAGGTACAGTCAGCCAAATATTTATCGTGGAGGAGTGGCAGTTTTTTCTCTGTCTCTTTTCTGTCATGACTGAATTAAGTTCCGAAAATGGTGCGGACATGTGCATGCCCACAAGGCACATACGCACCCACTAATTATTTGCAGCTTCGTTCCATCAAATGATGCTGGCATACAAAAACGTGGCTGCTGCACTCGATAACGAAAGTTTTGGCCAGCTGTACTGGTATTTCACGAACATGCACATTTGCGAGCTTCAACATTAAATTCAACAAAAAAAAACAGTAAAATTTATTGGTTGTTAATCAGACAGAGAGCCCGCTAAGACAACTGGTGTTCCGTGCTAATAAGGGTTTCCTTGTACGAGTGGAAGTTCAAGAAAACTACTTGGGTTGTGAACATTGCATGACGCAATAGGAATATTTGCCAAACAAAAACACCCTGTCAATGGTCCTCGTTTTCGCCTCCAGCGTATCGGCACAGTAAAGTGGAAAATCAGAAGGTGTACATATTTTTTGTGGTTGCTTTTTTTATAATACGGTCTGATTTTAAGCGTGCACTGCTTAAACTTGCCGTCCGAAGCTGGAATTGAAAATACAGTGCTCCATGAAATGTCTTTTTTTGTCAGATGGAATAACACACACAGACAGACTTTAATATAAAAACAAAGAAACTTGGAGGACACTCGAGCTTCGCATTCAACAGCAAAACGCGATAAAGTAATCAGTCCCCCAGAGCATAGCCTTATCAATTTCTTGTCTGATTTCAGTTCTCTATGGATGCCTCAACCGTACCACAAGGAAACTAACTCAAACTATGCTATAATGCATACTGCAATTAAGCTCGTAAACTCCCCACTACGCCATAATTATTGCTTTCGCAAATCAGCGAAAGGTGCACTGCGCGTCAATAAGGCAACCTGCGAACCTGAGCAGTGGTTCACTTTCTTGATGCTATTGCGCTGCTGCAGCTGATTAAATATGGCAACATGACACATAATGAATAAATATACTGAAAAACCCAACACCTACCCAAGAGAAGTGGCTGACGCATTCCACATATCATAGACAGCAAGTGATTACGTTAGACAACCTTCCATGGCGTTAGAATAGAAGGAAAGGGGCTTTTCAAACAAGGTGAACTAGAGACTTCACACGAGGATTTGACTCACGGTCTGACATATGAGTCTTCTGTGACAGTAGGCTTGCTCGCTGACCTTGAGAAAAAAAAATTGCCCGCAGCTTCCCTCGGGGGAATACTGAGGAGGATGCGGAGCATATAATTGGTTAACGGGGTGTTAAAGTGCGACTTACTTGGGTCGATGGCTAAATTGGTTAACGTGGTTGTGAAATGGGGTGTTAAATTGCGACTTACTTGGGTCGATGGCTAAATTGGTTAACGTGGTTGTAGGAGGGGGTGTTAAATGAGTGAACACGTACACACGTATGCGAAAGGGCGGCGCTGGTCGAAGGGACGTCGATCATTGTGCTTGTGGATTCGTTGGAATTCATTTCACCGCAACCTTGGACGTCGACGCGCCGTACAAACCAACCGACGAGCGGCAACTGAGCGAGCGAGCGCCGACCTTGAGTATATGTACAGCGCGACAGCGCATGCACTGTCAGCTGTCGAATGTTCGAGAAGGGAGAGAAGCGCGACGGCGCATGCGCGCGCGTCAGCTGCCGATGTTCTCGAAGCGTGACGGCGCATGCGCGCTACATTATACAGCTAGCGAATGTTCGTGAAGAGGAGAAGCGCACGCGGTGTGTAGAGGAGGAAGGGTGCACAGATGGTGGAGGAGTGAAGCGCGCGCGGTGTGTAGAGGAGGAAGGGATGCACAGATAGTGGAAGAAGGAGGAGGAAGCTTGCGGATGGCGCCGCACTACAAGCCTCGAGTATTAGATGCTCCGCATCTAAAATTACACGCCTTTTTTTTTTCGCTAAACCAGTTGGAAGTTCAGCGCTGTGTGCACTTCATCTTTTCTTCATCTTGCAACGAAATAGTGCTGTTTTGTTTTTTATTATTAAACCTCACCTACTGACCCAATTTTCCTGTCCTGTCTAGTTTACTTCTAGCGCGTAGGCGTCTTTTACGTGCGCTGACCTCGGCTTGTCAAATCCGGTGGCTTTGTCCCCGCTCAGTGCTGTGCACATCCGCCGAGCTAGCGCTTTCCCTTGGCACTGCCAACATGAAGCACGCCCTGCGCAACTACAAGTCATCTGCGGATTTGTGCGCTCATCCGTGGGCCACACTAAGAGATTCGGCGAGATACTTGAAAAAGAAAGGTCTTGGGACGTTAAACCCCACATATCAATCAAAAAGAAAGGTGGTGCCTTTCTTTTTCAAGAAAGAAACTGTTCAAAGATATTCTTCGCACTACGTGCTGGGACGGGGACACTTGCCTTAAACAGCGCATGTTTCGTGAGTGGTGTAGAAAGACGGGCCAAGTGATAGATTTGCTACGGAATAGTGTTCGCCGTGCGCCCCCACAAGGAGCGAAGCGATGGCCTGCCGAAAAGAAGC